CCTGCTGCTTTTACAGCCCTGGTCACAAACGGTACTTGTTAATTTGTCTGCTTACTTGATTAACGTCTCCATCCTACAGTGGTTGTGTGCTTGCTGTGCCTTAGCAGAGGACTGGAGTGAAAACTGATGAATGAAGGAACTGGAGAGATGGGAGGACCACTCTTCCTTTGAGGTTGAAGGAAAGGAAACAAATAATGAAGCCCCAGAGCCATCTGGAGGCTGAGGGGCATTCTGCTTTAATAACCTCGACTTTCTCAAGAGGAAGGTCCACTGTTGCCAGGGGCAACACACTGGCTGGAATGGCACTGAGCTGCAGGACAGAGAAAAGAAATCGAGAAAATAACACCATCAAATTATATTGAAGGGTGGTCCTTATTTAAGTGAATATTTCATTCCGCCGGTCTGTTTCAGACTGATTAGCTGTACGAGCTTGTGGCTTTTGTTTGCTGTGGGAAAGAGCCTCACCAGGAATTACAGCTCAGGAATAACAGTATGTTCCAACCGATTTCTCCCTGGTGATTTGAAATGCCCCTAGAAACAGCTCGGTATTGTTGCTGGCTTACAAGTCTACAATATGAATTTGACATAAGTACTTTAATACTGGGTAGCTGTAGTTCAGATGATAACATGTCACAGTGATTCCTTTCCTTTTCTTTTCTTTCATTTCCTCTTTTCTTTTTTCTCTACTTTCTTCTCTCCTCTTCCTTCTTCTTTCCTATCTTCACACAGTGAAGGACAAAGTCACCCAGTGTTGAGGCGCTATGCACATTACATCCCCTCATCTTTGTATGGAAGGGGGATCGAAATCTCAAACTCACCGAGAGTGAACAAGGGAGCAGTAATCATGGAACCAGCATCCAAGAATACAAAGACCCAAAGACGGACTTACAGGGATGAACGCATCCTCTGCTGAGGCCAGGCTTTCTCCACTGTGGTACTCCTGGCATTTTGGGTCAGATAACTCCTTGCTGTCCTGGTAGAAGGAGAAGGTTTAGCAGGATCTTTGGTGTCTACCACGTGATGCCAACAGCAGCCCCTCCTCCGTTGTTACAACCAAAAACATCTCTTGATGTTGCAGAGTGATGACTGAGGGGCAAAACGGCCCCCAGGTGACAGCCCCTGGCACTGAGAACTCACTTGCTAACATTTTTTCAGCATTTTGCCATGTCAGCCAGACTACATACATCATCTCATTGACTCCTCAGAAGCAGCCTGTGGAGTAGATATTAACCTCATCTTTCTTTTCTCAAAGGAAGAAACCAAGGCTGAGTCATTTAGTAACTGCCCTCAATCCCACAGTTAGGAAGAGGGAAAGGCAAGATTCAGACTGGGGTTGGTGGGGTTCCCAACCTGACCTCCAAACTCCTATGTTATTAAGAAGGATCTTTCTCAATCTGCATTTCAGATGAAATTTCCACATTTTAGGAACCACCTTCCATCAGTTTGTCTTTCCTTTTCTTCCACAAATATTTATTGGCCCCTGTGGCATATAAAGCAGCTGTATTATTGGACCAAATCACCCCAACAACTTCACGGGTAGCCAAGTGTGATCAGATTTGGTTTTTTTTTTAATTGAATTATAACTGACTTACAATGTTGTGTTAGTTTCTGGTGTGCAGCACAGTGATTCAGGTATACATACACATATGTTCTTTTTCATATTCTTTCATTATAGGTTGTTATAAGCTATTGAACATAGTTCCCTGTGCTACACAGTAGGACCTTGTTATTCATCTATTTTATATATAGTAGTGTGTATCTGCTAATCCCAAACTCCTAATTTATCCCACCCTCCCCCTTTTCCTCTTTTGGGAACCATAATTTTGTTTTCTATGTCTGTGGGTCTCTTTTTGTTTTGTAAATAAGTTCATTTGTAACATTTTTTAGATTCCATATATAAGTGATAGCATATGATATTTGTCTTTCTCTGTCTGACTTACTTCACTTAATATGATCATCTCAGAGTCCATCCACATTGCTGCAAATGGCATCATTTCATTCTTTTTATGGCTGAGTAGTATTCCATTGTGTGTGTGTGTGTGTGTGTGTGTGTGTATGTATCACATCTTCTTTATCCAATCATCTGTTGATGGACATTGAGGTTGTTTCCTTGTCTTGGTAAAGCAACTACATGACATGACTCTGCTGTTTACTCTGTTTCTTTCCCGGATCCATTCATCTGTCTCCTCCCTGCTGTGTGTTAAGGATGTCAGTTTCTACGCACTGTCTTCATCAGCTTCCTTTTGGGCTCAGCCAATGGGAGGCACCAACAAGAGATCAGAAGGCGGGATGAAAGAGAGGCTCGGGTATTCGTTCTGCTGGCTCCCTTCCTGGCAGATAGCAGTTTGGTACTTGCGTATCTAAGCCCTCGTGTGGCCCTCCTTCTGTGCCTCTTCACGCTGCGGGCACTACAGGCTCCCTGCTCCTTCATCCCTTATGGGTTTCCCTCATTCTGCCCACTCTTCTGTAAATAACCCCTTCCCTCAGCACACCTCAATTACCGCATCTGAGTGAGACAGCTGGTTTTGTGCAGGGACTCTGATGGCTGATACGGAGGAATAAAAATAACTAATGAAGGAATAGAGCCTAACCCTTATCTTGGAAAGTTTTCATCCTAACTGGGGGACAGATCATTCAAAACAAGCAGCTAGAGTAATCACATCGTGAGCACAGAAAATGTGCAACATGCTAATAATAGTGGTGACAGTAAAGACAATTTGAGCATCTATTTTAAACCCAAGTATTTAAAGTCTTCCTCTCACTTAATCTCCGCAATATTCCTATGATGTGTTATTGGTACCACTGATGGTTGAGGAAACAAGATTAGAGAGATTAAGTAACTTGTTTAAGGCCATTTACAGCAGAGTCTGTTACTGAATTTAGTGATCCAAGTGGAGTCAAATTGGACTAACATTAACTCCAATTCCAACCCAAAACTATTTTTTTTAAAAGCCTAAGAATAAACACAAATTTTAGAGAGAACTTTTTTTCTGGTTGAAAAGGCGCTAATTCAGATGACACTAATTCCAAAATTGTCCTTGTTCAGGCAAAGAATCTGCAACTCTTCCTGAGTAAGATGCTGGAATAATTATTTCCTCTCTAACATTTGCAGTCTTAATTGACACAGAGAGGCTGCAGTCCCAAAGTGTTCATTTTTTCACATCAAGGGCTTTGAAATTAAGAATGACTTCAGTGGGCCTTTGACTTTTGGAACGGCAATTAATCCCTGCACTTGCCAGACAGTTGTGTTCACAGTGTACCACTGCATCCGGTGGGCCTTCCAGGCAACAAGACATTTTGAGCTCACGGTTTGACCCTGCCATTTCAATGCCACAAATATTTTGATTACAAACACTAACCAGATTTAAATCAACACTGGAAAATGTTCATCAAAGCACTCGTCTCTTGGGTAAATGACATTAAGCCAACTGAATTCCTTAATCAAATTTTCTATCCAGCACAAGGGAATCATCTCCAATTTTTCTATTTTCATTTTTATTTTATCAAGATGGTATTCAGAGACCGATGACCCAAAAAAAGCTGAGTCGTAGATTCCATAAAGAGGTGGATATAAAGCGCGCTGAAACGAATCAAGTCAAATATTTCACAACATCTTTGATGTTTAACTGAGTGGCTTAGTATTTTGACCTAATTGCTCTCTCTTCTAGTTTCCGAATAGCCCGCCCACTCCTCCTGCCAATCATGAGAAATCTTCGAGACAAGCCTCTCCGGCCCCCTCCCTTCAGTGCGCTGCACTGCGTAACCAACATTAAGACTTCACTGCTCGGCATTTACTTCGCTCGGAAGTACCACTCTCCACACTGCAAGCTTTGAGAAAATGCATGCATTTGGCAGCATGGATTAACATTTATTGTATTAAAAGGGTTACCAAAGCCAGTATTTATAGATGAACTGATGCTCTGCGTGACTGTCAAAAGCCCTTCATCATAGAGACTTATTTCCAACTTATTCCTTCCTTCAAAGTCCAGCTTACAGCCCATCCCATCGAGCTCCTCCCGAAGCCTTCTCGCACAGGTCTGCCACCTAATGCTTTTATTGTCATTTATTGACAATTTACTGTCATTGATAATTCATGATTCTTTCATACAGGGCAGGGACTAGTGTTTCTTAAATACTCACAAACGAGTTCATTTTTATTAGAAACTATCTTTCTCTCCCAAATGAGACCATTCTTTATCTCTGTGTCACAGTTTAAGCAAATTCATTTATAACCTCAAAAAAAGGTCAAAAAGACATATTATGTTGGAGTTTGAATTAAACTTTTCAAATATTATATTTATCTTGCTCTAAAGTCCCCAGACTGCCTTGTATTTACTTAAATGTCCTCTAAGGGCTTAAATGCCTCTCAACGACCTAAAAGTTCTCCAAAGGATTACAACATAGATGGTCATATTATAAAAAATTATATATGAAATCTAAATTATGTTAATTTTTTTCATTCCCCAGTTTTACACAGTAACATTTACTTAATTTTATTCTAAAACTATTTACAAAATAATGTCGAATGAAAGGGAGGCT